TCCGTGTTCAGATATAACCAGACGATTTGGTTATAATCAACTATGAAGCACCTACAGAAGACAAACATGACGATATTAAAGATAAGTTCTTCCTCGTGCGTCGAATAGAAAAGAGTTGTAAACAACTTACCCGTGCATTGAGTGAAATTAATAATTCGTAATCGGAATGCTAAATTAGGTAGTGGGAATCTGTAGTTTTTATATGATTGGCTTTGAAAGTCCACATAATACAAGAAATGACAACGGTTATAATTTAGTAGCACCTTTTTACCGAGGAAGGATATTCATAATAAAACACATGTGTATCTAACGGACAGATTGGCAATCAGATTATTAATTATTTCTTGATAAGCTATATAAACACTACATCAGGAATGTACAACGTACCGTAGGAATAAACGGCTAGAACGGTTGGTCTCATCTAGAGTGGATGGCCAAGCAATAAAAAAGGTGTTGACGGAAAAAATAAATAAGACAACATTATTAAGATGATCCAGAACTCGGTGTATTGATGCCAAAAATCAGAGAGCAATATTGATCAGAATAAATCATTTAATTTGGCTTATAATAGAGAAAGATGGAAAGACCTAATGAAGGCAGCAACGGTCCTTAATGGACTGATAAACTAACATGATGATGATAATGAAAATCAAAAATCGATAAATAGAAATCTAAGTAGTATATGAAAATAAATGGTGAAATTTGAATTTTGAAGTATAAAAGTCATCAAACTCGAAAGTACTTATACTTAAAAAAATATAAACGGTATGAAATATTCCAACATTTTAAATGTATATGTATGTCATCGTTTACGAATACACTGAATCAGCACGTATGTATTTCAACATTTGATAAAATAAGATTGTTTTCGATATTGAAAAAAAAAAAGTGTTTCAGAAAATGTCTAGTTTTATAATTTTCTTTCTACTTTCAAACTTCTACAGATTTCAGCAACCTTCCCGGTCATAACTGCTCGCAGTGAACCTAACCCAACAAACTTTTTCATAATTCGAAATATTAAGAAAATACTTGGGAAACACCACGTGTGAAAGTAGATTGAACGGATTGGCAATGATGAATATTATATTACAGCGATATAATGATAGGCCCTGAAGACGAATTAAAATTGAAATTCTTGACGTTTTAATGTTTTAAATAAAATATAAAAAAGGATGGACTTACTTCGCACGCGGGTACATCCACTTTTGTAGGTGAGAATTTAAGAAGTTAGGATACAGACAGGAATTTAACGTATATCCGTAAGCAACGATAAACCATTGCTGACAAAAAAACCATTCTGAGCGGATTTCAGTGGATAGTGTTGTTTTGTCAACCATAGATAATATGTGTCATATTACGGTAAAACTATTACAGCAATGCGCGTTTCCACGACAACAATGGTTGTTTTAAAAAAAACAAAATAATAATAATAACAAAAATAAATAAAACCGGTTGCCAATGACAACCGTATTTTTAATTTTTCAATCTCTTTTAACCTTAAGACCCGGGTTTTTCTCATTATCTCGAATATAATGAGAATTTCGAAAAAATGATCTCTCTCAAGTACCACCCGTAGAACGTTTCCTTTCAGAAAAGGTGCTATACTCGATAATCGGAGTATGCTTTCTGGAAGATAAAGTGTTTACGTAAAAAAAAAAAAAAATAAATAATAAACACCGTTGTAAAACCTATTCATTCCTCGCTCCACTAAGAATCCAAAAAACAATTTAAAACATGTTTCACGTATACACCTACGTACTGTGCAGACCTAAACCCTAACCCCCCCTCTCCCCCCGGTTAAAAATCCCGGCCACGCCGCTGCGAATGTACCGAAAACTCGTAGGTACCGATAACACCATAGTTTTACAGTGATATAATATCGTTGTACAACGATCGAAAACCGCGCGATTTCCGTTGTCGCGTAATAATGTTATCGGCGTACACGGACGATAATATTTTACGATTACGGTGCGCAGCGGCCCTCGAGAACGGCGAGAACACTTAACTTCGATACGGGCGTTATCGGCGGCCATTCGACTTCGACACCCGTTCCGGCCGTTCGCCGCCGTTTCCAAGCGCCGAGTGCACAGCAGTACCGGCGCGCCGCGTGCGGGAAACGTTCGTCGTTGTCGTATTGTATTTCCAATACCGTTGCGTATCGCGCGCGCTGAAAATAACGTCGGAATTCGAGTCGGTGCACGGGGCCGCACGCGTGGCTAACGGCCCGCGTTCCGCGGCGGTTAGGCGGCGAAAAGTTTACTGTCGCCGTACGGGTACGCGCGCGGAGCGCAATATCGCGGGAATATCGCTCGGGAGGGGCGGCGGTCGGGGCGAGGGCCGCGTGACGGCGACGACGCGACGGCGCGGGGGGGGGNGGGGGGGGGGGGGGGGTAGGGGTCGCGGCGAGGAGTGTCACGCGGAGCAGATAAGGCGTGATGGCGGCCCGGTGGTACCCGCGCGTACCTACGCGTATAATACGCGTAGGAAATTGAAAGGGAAGCGATGTGCGCGTTAACGTGACTTAACTCGAACGTCGCCGCTGCGGCACTCGACTCCGCGGCCGCGAAAGTTTAAACAAAGAGAGCGCGCGGTAATACGCCGCGGGATTTGCGGCGGATCCCGACGGGACGGCGGCGGCGACGCGTGACGGACGGAGGACACGGGGGATATTATTTAAATTTCCCGACAATGCGCCGCCGCCGCCGCCGTCACGCCGTAGCCGGGACGTAGGTACGCGGGCAGGTATATTATAACCGCGCCATTGGAAAAGTCGAGATTTCCCGCGGTAACGTTTTCGGCACACAAAACCCGCTCGGGACGGGCCCCCGAGAAAATGTTTAATTATTAATAAAACGCGCCCGCGTATACCGCCGCCGCCGCCGTCGTTGTCGTCGTCGTCGTCGTCGTCGTCGTCGTCGTCGTCCTCCGGGTAATTAACCGACCGGAGGACGACGACGGCGAGAGACCGTGGGGGGGGGGGGGAAACCGATGCGAGTTTTTTTTCCAAAGGATATACAACAACGAAACGTGGCAGAAGGGGCGAGGAGGGGCGGACGGGAGGGGGACGAGATAATAATAATAAAAACCCGCGAACGTCGGTTCCGCGTAACCGTGTACATCGATATAATACGCGATTTTTTTTTTCTTTTACCGAATCGCTACGCGGCAGTCGAACGGGTCGCCTATGTTAACGTCCTTGATGGGCGGCGGTTCGCGGGCGACAATATTATCGCGCCGTCCCGTCTACAATAATAATATTGGCTCGTTGACAAATCAACTAGAAATAGTTCAACTCGGTCTATTGTAAACGCCGCCTTACAATAACCGTCGGTCGATTCCGTCCGAGATGCGCGCACGGTATCGCCGATCGGCTTCCGGCATATCACCTAGGCGTAGTATTACGTTCCTGTATACTAAAGATCATTGCATTTTCAACGTTGTTGTAATAAAGCCTACACGAAACGGTATGAACGACAATCACAGCATCTCGTTTTGTATTTCCGATAGTACAGATTTGACGTTCAACCCACGCTAACGCCCTTGGTAATTTTTAAAATGTTTGCCGACGTCACTTACGCGGTTCACGAGCCGCACCGGTCCGTAACTTACTAAACAACAGTCGACCGTGATGTTATACGCATTGTATGTATTTCGTCTTCTATTCTTAAACATAAACCCAAGTCTATAGAAACGTCAGGGAGCGCGTCATTTTAAGCGCAGTGGGAAGTCGGCGGTATCAAGTCCCTTTGTGCGCTACCCATTTCCTTACGGTTTAACCTCTGAATGTCGTCGGACGTTTTATTTACGCGGACAATACGGTATGTATCCGTCTCTCCCGTATTACGACGCGCGCCGGAAATGTTGCAACCAGATTTTAATAATCCACGCCGTTGGCTAAATGAAAAAAAGTCCTACCGCAGTTTTATGGTACTATGTTATATATATATAGGTACGAGACAACAAAGTAAAATACAAGGAATGTCGTCCAATATGAGGATTTATGACAGCGTATATTTTTGACGGACGATGTTGATTTAAAAAAAAAAAAAAAAATCCGCGGCGTCCGTCCCTATTTTCGGGCGAGTATGTGCGTTTAAAAAATATATATAAAAAAAACCCCCGTAATATTATATTTATATCGCGGGACGTGCGGTACTGCTGGCCCCGTCGGCCGCACTACGGCGGTACTTGAATCGACAACGGAATCGGGCCGGTCGTGTACCGCGGGTCGCCCAGGTATTTTATTATACGGAGGAAATCGCCGCGGCAACAATGGCGAAACGCGCTCCGAATGGCTATTGGCATCTCGGTTGTTTGCGCCGCGCGAAAACCCGAAAATATTTTACTCGCGCGGCGTGCGCGCACCGGCCGAGGGCGCGGGTATTATGTTATACAGTGCAGCTGTAAAAAGAGGAGGGGGGTGGAGGAGGAGGAGCGGGACGGCACGGGCAGGGGGAGCTAGGGGCGGCGGGGCGGTGCTCGACGTATCCGTTTCACAAAGAATAACGATAAAGTGGCGAATACCTTCCGAAGGCCGCACAGGTATAACGCGTATTTGTTATTATTATTATTATTATTATACCGTACACAATACACAAACGTATTATTATACATCTATCTACGCGACGTATACGCAGCGGATGTCATCGTGCGTCGACCTATGGGTTTTGTCGGGTGACCCGGAGCGGCAGAGAGAACGGGAGAGTGAGAGAGAGAGCGAAACCGAAAAGGAAAGGAAAAAAAAAAAAATGGCGGCGCGAATGTTTATATTATATGTTGACGGTTGATAACGGCGGTCGTCGGCCAGATTCCATTTTACCCGGGGACACGCGAGGACTTCTCCGGAAAAAAACTTTATATAGGACATACACCTACCTGTATATAATATAGTGTATAGAGTGGTAATAAGCACTCGCAGGTTATGCTAAAAGTGATGACCGTCCCCCCGGGCTTTTTTTTTTTTTTTTTTATATTGTATATATTTTTTTTCTTCTTCATATCCCGCGCTGTGCCATCGTCATAATACAGCCGCGTATACCGCAGCCTCGGCCGTATAATATTGTTTTCGTCTTAAATTTCATTTCGCCGTTATTTTATACACCCCGTTTTTGTCTCCTTTTTTTTTTTTTTGTATTTTTTTTTTTGTTTACCCGTACGTCACCGTCACCGCTACGCGAATACGCGTTTATGACCGGAAGAGCTTTCTGGTGCATTGACAACTATACGTGGGTACGTATATAATATAAAGGTTTTACCTGGCTACAACCAGTGGCGCAACCAGGATTTATTTTCGGAGGGGATTTTACGGATTTGAATAAAAAAATCAATTTCGGATGGTGTTCGGTGGGGTGGAAGGAGTAAGGTTTAATTAGATTTACGAGTAAATTGTTTAACATTCATGGATACGGCTGCTCCAGCATCTCTTTCGAAAAAGAACGGTCCAATGAGTGTTTTCGCAAAAATTCTGACCCGAAAAGTCACGCGTTGATTGTTAAGAGGATGTTCGTGGATTAATTGAGGGTTTTCATTGGCGTAGAACCAATAATTTTTTTTATTTACGGCCCCATTCAACCTTAAACACTTCGAAAAGTAATGAGAAATGTCGAAAAACGAGCCCATTATGCCATTCGCTCTGAAGGCGACCATTTAGACGATATCATTTTTAGAAAATAATCAGAACAAATTTCCAAACTAAAAGAAAAATTATTCAAAATTAATAATTTGTGTTTTTTTTTTTTTATAAAATTGTTACCTAAAAACACCCCAAAAGTTTATTTGCCCCGCCCTGTGGGTCTGTATTATGAAATGGGAATTTCGTGAAACATAAAAATATTTGGTCACCGACTTTATACATTTTAATTTGGGAGCAAAATTCGTATTGAAACAAGGCTAAAAAAGACATATTTTTATAGCGTAGTAAACATATTCGGTTCTAACATATGTACATAAAATAATTTGGCGAAGAAAAAATCCATTATCCAGGACCCATAATAAATCCTGTTAGAAAGGTTTCGTGTTTTATGAAGGAAAACGACATTTTTTTGGCCTTACCGCAGGATAAAATTAACCAAATTTTCAAATCTTTTTTTATGGAGCTGCCTCATCCCGGTGTTGATTATTTTAAGAGGAAAAAAAAATTATTATTTTAATTTATATTTTTGTTTTCATACCTACACCTAAAACAATAATGTATAATGGCCTCAAATAATTTCGCTCGAGGACAGAAACCATGTGACTTTTCGTAATATTTCATTAGAGTAAAAACTGTAAAAATTTAAAAAAAATGGAATGATTAATTTTTGAAGAAAATAAAATGCATACATATTTTTTTTCTAAACAATTTCGGGCATTATGTTTTATGAACAAATTGCGATTCAGAAAACGATTAAAGAACTGTTATTAGATTATTTGTGGATTAAATAAAAAGTGTTTAGGTTGGGAGGTTTTTTAAATGACATTTTTTGCCTTTATAATTGACTTTTGCGTACCTATCTAATAAACGTCAAGTATGAAAGTTTCAAAGCACCTACTCTCCAGTTAAGTATTTAAAAGAAGATGCGGAATACATTTTTGATTGACATGTTATATTTATTTATTTGTCCTAGAATAATATATCCGTATAAACTTTCGTATCTACATTCAAGTATATATATATATATATTTATATGTATACATTAAGTAAGCACAAAGGAACGAATAGAGAAGTTAAATAAATACAATTATTTCTTGTCAGTTCGTTTGACTTTACTCGATGGGTACTTGTATCTACTTAATTTCTTTTGTTAAAGTGTATTTTACCTCAATGTATCATAAATTATTCAATTAACCTTGATTGTTTATCTATCGAAGTTTCTATATCCTATACACAATTAATTTAGACACTAGCATATATTCGTATACGTATAATTATAGCTGTGTAAAAGTTTATTCACACACATTGTTTTCGTGTATATTCTTATGGTTGTCATTATTCTACTTTATCTTTTTCTTTTCAGGTTTCTAGTACTCTAAAAACTATCTAATTTCCTGGTCAATCCTCCATCCTTTGCTATCTGTTGATTTCCGTTTCCGGTGCGAACTTCCACCAAATAATTTTACATCTTATTTTACTATATTTTTCTGAATTACGGTTCCGGGATTTCATAGAGGTATTTTCCCACATGGATTCGGCTCCGTCGCCGTTTTCATTCACCATTATTTTCATCATTAATCGGCCCGAGGATTTTGTATTTATAATATTATCGTTAAGGGGCTAGAGCGTAACCAATTTGTCCGTTAAAAAACATGTTTTATAGGAAAAACTTTCACCTAACCACGCAAAGTCAACCGATTTCAATTATCATTTTTTTGTTTAATATAGTAAAATTTTAACAGAGTTCTTTGGAATTATATTTAAAAAAATTATACTTCTAAACGCTATAGTTAGGTAAGGTTAGAGTTTGAATATCGAAAACGACCAATAATTTCTATTTTTTTAAATTATTTTTTTTTCATGATGATTGATTTAGCATTCAAAAAACAAATATAATATGACCTGTAAAATATTTTTTTCTTTCCAATAGAAAAAAAAGTTTTAAATCGACATTCGTTCACTGTTTTATTTTTCTGTTTAACGCCTAACACTCTGAACCATTCAATATATCCGGTCTTTCCACATTTTTGTATAACTTATCTTTAAGTCTTATCAGAAAATCCTCTTGTGACATAATAATGACGTTTTACCCTATTTTATCTAACCAAAGTTAATTCTATGTTTTTTTCATTAATTTGCACCACCAAGAATTCTTGAATCTGTTCTTCCTGATTTTTTTTATTTTTGTACACTCTCTTCTCACAAAATCAAAACTTCATGACTATTACCCTAAGGTGTATTATTACAATCTCATCAGGTATCCTTTATCTGATTAACACTTACTCTCTTCGACATTCAGTAATCAATTTAATATTTATTCCCTCAACACTTAAAAGTTATATAACGCTCTTACCTCTTCTTAAAATACCTGTTAAAGCTGCCTGGTCATATTATGCTATTGAAAATTTTGGAATTTTTTCCCCAGCCACTTTTGTCCTTCCAAAACCATAACCTCCACATAGACCCTTTCGTAAATTGTTCCCTTACTACGAACATGTCCATTTATATCACTATCAATTACAGAATTTTCGTTTTTTGGTATTCTTTGCGTTATCTCATCCATCTCTCGCCAAAACTTTGTGCGCAAGCCTCGTTAATATAAAAATTAAAACTGATTTCGTTATTTGTTTAGACTTGTTTTTAGACTTGTTAATTGTAAATAATAAAAATTTCAACTTTGGAATTGATAACATATTTTGACAAAAAAACCACGAGCCGTTATCTTTGAATGAGAATTCAATCGGATAACCGCGTGCGAAAGGAAAGCATATAATATTTTCTTATCGGAATCCGTCCGTTGGATTATGCGTAGGAATAAAAACACAAGTACTGCTACTATGCCCGTACCATCGGCAGCCATAGCCGACAAAAGTTCACTTGAATAGAGATGGTATCGCTCGGCAAAATATTACCACAACATTTGCATTATAATTTCATTGTATTGAACGCCGCGAGGAGGCGACGCATTTCCGAGTGCACGGCATACGTCTACACTCTAACAAAGATACGAGTATTTACCAAGTCATATTCGTAAACTTCTAACCTAAATTACCACTGTAATAATTATCAACAAGATTTCGCGAGCAAATTAATTTACATAAAGCTCCCTCTATACGTAATGTGCTCAGATAATATATACTCGTAATTCCTTTACGGGTATAATTTTTCCAACTAGTTCAAATAACTGCGGAAACAATTATTTTATAGTCTATACGATAGCAAGTTGAAAGATCGAGTGTTCAAATAAACCTTTAGTTTCAGGAAAAAAAAAGCTTAAGTTAATTCTCGGCATTTTATATTTTTCATAATGTAATAATTTAAGTCCCCATTCCATTTGACCAAAATTATAACATGTTACCACGTTAAGAATTCGTACACCACGAATTAGGTAGGTATTTATTATGAAAATGGTTTATAATAATTACGAATACGTTATTTATGCATTTTTATCTTTAAATAAAGTATCAGTATATACAATTAGTAAAAAAAAACAATGTCGTTGTCCAAAGTAATTTTTTGAAACTTTGTAGTTATAGTCGAACAAATTATGAAAGCTAAATACAACAATAATACCGTAGGAGTAATCTTTCATAATATAGTTGCCTTAGTATTATTGGTCGTTGAAAACGGATTACACGTATTAGGTACATTTAGATTTTTGCCAACAAAAAATGTATAAAACTAAAGAAGAATCTAATTTTTCCAGGTTACCGCATTATTTCCGGTTTTTTTTTTGTTTTTAAATAGAATGTTGTTAAATAGAACGAGAAATGTATTTATTTTACTATGTGTGCAATTTTGTTTGGTTTATTTTTATATTTGTGTTTGTAACACTTTTTATTCTACAAAAATCTAGCTTCAATCAAAAAACCACAATAAGGCTTTTTGTAGCATTTTGAATTTAGTTGATGTATTGTTAAAGTCACTTTTTGATTTTCTTTGAAGTTTTCATAATATTTAGGAAAAATGGTAAATTTCACGGAATAATGATTTGATTATTTTCGATTTCGTTGTTATTCGGTTAAAATAACCTTGAAGATATTCAAACTTGGTAAAATTTTGAAAATATTCTGGCTAATTTTTAGTTATTTATATGCATTCAACATTTTAAAGTATTTTTGTTGTTATTGTTTGGTTATATGGATAAATTTGTTTTCGCCGAACTGAAATACTCGAAAACGAAATTTATCACAAGCTGTTCTTACCGATCAAAAAAGAGTTATAAAAAATTATAAAAGTTAAAAACGTATGGCTGTCATTTTTTTTTATGTATTTGATGTTCAAATTTTGACGAAAATCTTATAAGTCACGGCATTTTAACCGAACTTCGTTCAGAATCTTATTATTTCGTTAACAATGATTAATCGTTGCGCTCAGTTATAAATTAAATAACCTTAATTGTCTGATCTTACGAATTTCCTACCTACGATAGTGGCATAACCGTAAGCAGATTAGCTCTTTATTTTCTGTTTGTGAATAAATTTGCTACCAGAAATCACGTTCTAGCCGTAAAAATTCGGGTACATTTATGTTCTGGTTGGGGTACATTTAAAGGGAGGTAGTTTTTTCATTTTCCTTGTAGTTTCCTTAATAACTGGAAATAATTTAACGCATTTTTCAAATATTTTACCCGAGATTCATCATGTTTTTTTTTTTTTTTATTTTCTACGTCTTTTAATAAAAACAACAAAACCCAGCGCTAACCCACGTGGTGGCGGGTCGGCAGGTATTGTGAAGACGGAAAAAAATTGATTTGGTGCTCGTATAATGTCCATAATATCCTGACCCGCTATGGCGTTCAAACAATATTGCGAATATAATAACGTTTTTCATCTGACCACTATTGTGTACACAACACGCGGTCAGTGATACCACATTTCACGACAGCACTCGACATTATAATATGATGTGGAACATAACTGTCGTAATTTCGTTATTTATCGTTAATCCGATAACGGTTTTCCAATTTAAGCACCGATCTTATGAAATATAATCTATACACCGTCAAACCGTCAAAATCGACGTTGAGATATTATAGTTGCGCACACGCTTGTAAGTATAAAATCACACTATTATACACCGTTATAGGGGATTCGGCGTGGATGAAGATAGTTGGCGAAAATTGTGCACGAATGCAGTCGGACGGATAATGCCATACACGTAATAATATTTCAATTTCGTGTTACGGCCTTGCGTCCGCATGACAATCCAAACTTAAACCGTACAGGTTAATTAATAAATTGTAGTCGGAATAAATAAAAAAAGCTTCCGAGAAAACCGCGGTCTCACGTGGACGTATTCGTCGCGAGGGATATCTCTGTTGCTGCCGTCGACGTATAATTTTTTGTTTACATTATTATTATTACGATTTTTTTTTTTTTTTTTTTTCTCGCCGAAAAAACGACACATCAAAGGAAACGGGAAAGGGCACCTTGTCATCGTCGGAGTCGGAGTCGGTTAACTGTGTACGTATACATATATATTATTTACGTATAAAATAATAATACGATACACCCGACGGGACCGCAGCTTGTAGCCGCCGCGCTCGGTCGCTGGCACAAAAGAATTCGTTACGCGATCGGCCACGGGCTGTTTTTCCAACATCGTCAACGGCTATACACAGTACCACCACCACTACCACTACCACCACCGCCGCCACCAACACTACTACTACGAAAACGTTATTTGTACCGTCACACACACAAACACATACACCTATACACACGCACACACACACACACACACACACACACACACACGCCGTCGTCGTTTATATATACGGTATATGGTATGTGTATATGTACGCCGAGATCCATTTTAAATTAACCGAACCGCCACCGCCGCCGCCGCTAAAACAATATTTGTGTGTGTTTATATATTATTTTGTTGCCAGATACAGCTGGTAATTCGTGTCCCTGAGCGATTTCCGCCATCGTTGTCGTAACCCCTCGAAACTTCCGACGCGGAAACGGGGCAGAGAGCCAGTGAGAGAGCGAGAGAGGGCGATAGAACGGGAGGGAGTGAGTGAGAGAGAGGGGTTTTTCGCGAAACAAACCGTTGTCGGGCTGACGAATATACGAGAGAACGTATATATACTTTTGGTACGAGACTTTTCTCCGCGAGAGACTACAATAATAATAATAATAATAATATTATATTATATAGCCGAGCTGTGCGACCGCAGAGCACCGATATTATTATTATATAATACATATTGTTATTATTATTCAATTATATTATAGCGGGCGTCTCGAGTATAATATTATCATAACGGAAACAATTACGGATTTTCTGTTTTGCGTCCGACAGGTTTTTCGATGTATGTTATTATATTCGGTTACTCTCTCGTTCCTTCTCTCTCTTTTTGTCTCCCTCTCTCCAAACGATACAAATGAAAACCGTATACGCGCATAACGTAAATACATTATAAACCGACGATACGTATTATTCGTAGTATACCGATCGGGAACGTATTTCAGTCGGCAACAGATTTCCAAAAGTAGTCATACCGAGGCTCGGGGCATTTGGTTAACGAATTTCCTTGTGGTTCCAGACTCCCAGAAAAAAAAAATAAATAATAACACAGCAAGTCTTGCGAGCTGTATCGGTGTTCCGCCACATGAGTCGATATTCATAAACGACCGACTTGTTGCCGTTATGATTTTAAAAATTATTTATTCTTTGGCTTAAAAACGAGCTACTTATGCAATGAAACTTGAACAATTTTAAAATTTGTACGTTTTATCAAAAGGTACGTGTGAGCGAATTCTTTTGATAAATATTCAGTATGTTTACAAACACAATTCCAAACCACTAGTTTTATTCGGAGCGTCTGTTTTTCAAAGCTTCGAAAATCTCTACAAAGACATCCTATTTTGGTGCATGCAAACGGCGGAGGTGAGGGTTAAAAGTTTAGGACACTGAATCAGTTCAAATGTAAAATTTTCCCAAACAACCTTTATTTGAGGAGGTCTGTAGAAGGTATTCAAAGTTAAATAAAACAAACCACTCCTCTAAAACGATGCTGAAATTTACCTCTGTATCTGTCACTTCAATATGCCTATAAACGAATTCTTTTCCCTGAATTTGAACTCATTTGATTCGGAGAAATCCGTTAAAATTTAAATTTGTCCAACATGAATGAGGATAAGCAATCACATTTATAAAACTAATATTAAATTCTTCATAGACTATTTGCTTTTAATTTAAAATACATGTTATTTTGATTTTAGGCTCGTCCTCTCCGTCTCTCGAGATAATAGACAATATTACCATATACTAATAATAATATAGGATACTACGGATAATTACCGTTCAAGTCATTGGCAGTGCTGTGCACGTCGTTTTATAAGCCTTTTCTACTCTACCACCGCCGTTCCACCGACACGTATTTCGGAACGTCTTATCCATCCGCTCTCTTCCTCACTCACTCTCTATATATCTCTCTTTATCTGCAGGGCACACGAGCGTTTTATCCGAAATTAGTACTGTCCCCCCACCTTTGCAATGGAAGCGTATATGCGCTGTTTATTATCTCATTTATCCTTGTTACCTCCTCTTCTCCACGTCAGAGCCTGATCTCGGCGTGAATGTATATGAAGTACCTATATTCTCTCCCTCGTTGCTCATGGTATACTTTCCTTTATTATATCCGTAACACTGTCATTATAATATTTACTCGTGTTTCACGTTCACGACCCCAAATTTTGCGCACACTTGGGATCACGGTTTTTTGGTTATCATATTTCGCCGGTGGAATCGGAGAAGATTCGTTTTCCATTTTCAAAATAAAGAATTTCGTTTGGTGAAAATCATAACGTTTAAGCAATTCAAATTACCGGGCCCCTCGCTTTAATTCCGTATATACATATTATACGTATTTGCATATACTATTTGCTTTAAACAATTACGTTCCGAATTAAGAATCGCTGATTTGTTCACTTAACGATGAAACAAATAGTTCGAAAACTCTTCTATGTTTGGAAATTACGTAATTTTCACGATTTTCGTCAAAATTTTACCTTGAACCGCTAATAAAAGTATACTAATATATCTGCGAAGTTAAACTTATAATATTCCTCGTATTAAATTTTCAAATAATTTTTTCTTGCCGAACAATATTTTCTACATTAAACCAAATAAAAACTAAAAAACTTGGAAGTATCAAATTCCTCTAAATAGTTCAAAAATCATTAGAATATATTTAACATTTTACTACGTTTCTGTTAAAACCTAATATAGTTTTTTATATTTTTATTGGACAATTGCAGTCATTATAAAAATTGTTAGGGACATAAAAAATGACCTCTTTAAAGCACTAACTGAAAATAATGCGACAAAAAAGATTTCTTGTCATTTTTTGATTTCAGTGTGATTTCTAGTAGAAAACTTGTTAACCGGTACAAAACTTAAAAATTCATCGACCCGTCTGGAATCTAGAATAATATTATGATTCTTTATAACAAAATCTTTTACCATTATTTTGAATTATGTTAATAATCTTAGCGCAAGTTCTAAAGACGGCAGAAACCATGTATAAATATGTAGTTTTACTAAATAAACTTTAACGACCTTAATAAAAGCAGTTTATTTTTTCATTATTATGCTATTTTCATGTTCATTAATTTATAACTCTTACGTAACATGTGCGTATTATTATTCTATTATACTAGTTTTTTAGTATAAAAGGTTAGGTTAGGTAGGTACGTTGTATAGTATGTAAACAAATATTTGACTAAATAATTCAGATAATTCAAATTTTTGAGACTTAATCTGCAGATAAATATGTAGAGTAACTGATATAGAAAATCTACTATACTTAACGAGATAACGGAGCCACAGAAAAAACTCACTTAGTTACAATCAGAGGATCTGCTTTTTCTTATTTCACCATCGATGGCTTCTACAATCCTCTCAAAACTTTGGACTATTCGGTATGAATATTTTCACTATATAAACGTTATTATTAAATGCGTACATATTTTATGAAACGTCTTAAACATGTATAAAAACTCCAATAGTAACTTTATTATTTTTATGATAATCGTATGGGTTCAGGATTTTGCACTCTAGAATGTTACTTTGGCAGACCACTAGCTTATATTATGTGTAATGTAAATCAAATGTATGAAGGAAAACTTTATGGAGGACGTGGTTTTTCTTGTTTTTGCTGTTGGGATAAAGGGAGCAAAGGGCTCAGAGCCAATTGTATAAATGGAAAGGAGGAAAAGAAAAAACCCAGTACTTATTGGGAAGATTAACACGAGAGATATATTAAAATAATCATGAAAGTCAGTAAATGGTACGAATTCTGGGATGGAAAAGGGAAAAAATCATTTTAATTGATAAAAATAAAATTTTCAATGATTATACTAAATTCGTATTACACTTTACAATTTTCAAAATAAAGTATTGATTGTTTCTTTTAATTTTTTTTTTTACGTTAAAAAATATCTGTAAATTAAAATATGTCTAAAATTCTGAAGGTAGTGGTATTCTATGACGTGTTCTTAGTTTTTAAATTAGATTCAGGGAATTGGTTTTACTATGACATGTGTTTTTTTCTTTTTGTAAATAATTTTCTGAAAAAAAAATCTTACTTCAATATATAGAAAGTGGCATTTTTTCTGAAAGGAAATTTTGTTTCATTGATGCATTTGGAAGGCCATTTTTGAATTTTCAAAGGGGTATTCAAAATACATTGGAAAAACACAAAAAAATAAATTATAGGTAAAACGACAAATATTTACTGCTGGCCATGGCCATTATCGATTTCATTGTTTGTAATTTTTTCAAATTATGTTTTCTATCAGATATATTGTATCAGTAGAAAAATGACAAGAGATCGATTTTGTTGAAGTTTTAATGTAGTTCGTAAGTAAGAAAGCGTTTTTTTTGATTTTCCGAGTAGTTTTCATAATAAAAAGGAAAAATCCGAAAAAACCGTAAAATGAAAACCGACAAATTTATAGCGTTAAATTTGTACGCTTTATGGTTCCTACCAGAATTATTGCTCCAGTAAAAAAAAAAAAAATGACGAGAGAATATTGTTGCATTTTTAATTGTGTCCGTGTAGCACGGACTTTTATCGTTCTACAGCTCTGCATTACGCTTTTCCGATACACGTACGTGGATAATGTTTCAACCTATTAAGCTTTGGATGTTGTTCCCAATATATGCGGTTATCAGATCTCGAATGATAATAATTGGTGAGACCAATTTACACTAGATTGTCAGAAAAATGGTACGGTTGTTTTGAACGTGGAATGTGGTACGGCCGTTAAAAATTAGGATTTCTTAAATTATGTACACAAAAAAAAAAAAAAAAAAATTTAAAAAAATATCTACATTGCATGGTATTTTATGTCCCCTACGAAGTGTTAAATAAACAATCAAAACAGCACGGACACCCGATCAGTCAACAATAGGCAAAAGACCGAAGACGAGAGCGCATATAAAACGGGTAAGTTTAATCATATGGCTATTATTATTAACCTTCCATAAGAAAACTATATTATTGTAACTATTATTATATATTGTGAATTTATATTTGATTTAATTTTTCGACATATTTTTCGAACCGCTGAAAATACAATATTTTATAGCACCAATATTCTGCCTATTTCATTTCTTTTATACAAAACACAATAAGACCGTAACAATTTTACGTTTGTCCCTCCGCTAGGTATGTAGGTACCTAAATATATATGTTTCACGTACCTTTGCAATTATTACCGTTTACACGGCGAGAAAATAAAATGAAAAAATAAAAAATTGTTTACAAATATGCGAGATTATCGGAATCGCACTGCATTCGACAGGATACCTACGCGTGCGAAAACACGATGAAAACCGTTTACTCCTGTCAATGTATAAATACAGATGAACTGGTCTGAGGAAAGAACGGTACCTACTTACCCGTATTGTTTTTATTTATAAGGAATAATAATGATATTAATACTTGTTATAATATATATGATTTTAATATCATTATATAGGTCACAGTTAGGCCGACATTAGCATCGGGAAAATCCGCGCAAGAGCAGGTAATTTCCCTTTCATTTTATTACGGCAGAAATACCTGTAAAATTTCCATCGGTGTGTATAATTAAAACTTTTTAAAACATTAAAATTCTTATTATGTTTTTGTGTTAAAAGTTTATACACGCGCAGAGGTGAAACATTCATAATGTATGTATATATTTATAAATACCCGGCAACAATATTACACAAAAAACACACACACCTTCCTACATCTATATAAATATACATTACCTACCTATCCTAACCTAACTTAACCTAACGACTGTTCACTTGACTTCATTATTTCGTATATCTATAAAATGAAAACCAATCGCCGCACGTATAAGAGATAATCATTTGTGAACGGCTCTATCGATTTGACTGATATATTTTGTTTTTTCATTTGCAGATTTGTCGATTCATTTTGATTGTTCTTGATTGGTAGGACAAAGTTTATACGAAAGAACGCGGTATACATTAAGTTATTTGATAAATATTTGTAACCAAAGGTAAACCATTGCTAACGAAAAATTATTCAGAGCGGAGTTCGGTTATACATGTTTTGAATGACAGTAACATTTGCGATTTTCGTTAAATTAATAATGTAAAAAAAAATGTAATGAAATACAAATACTATATTACACTCAATATTGTTTTTTTTTTTTTTTACTATAAAATAGGAATTATAATTATCCTCCTTTCATACTTTCAAGTCGTTTAGTCTAACAATTTTATCTACAGAGTATCTACTAAATAAAAATGACGTAAAAAACTCGCAAAATTAAAATGTCTATAAATAGTTCAAAAATGACTTACATGTTTTAAAATTTTACCAAATCTAGCAATGTTGAATATAAGTTTTCTGTTAATATTTCAAGTCTTTCCAAATATTTTAAACTGAATTAGTAAAAAAAAAAAAAATGTTTGTAAATTTTCCTGTACTTTATATGTATTTTTCAGTTTTGCACAATATTTTTTAAAAAAACGCCTTTATTGGTGACCAGCTAGATTAAAATTTCAATAAGAAGATTTCCTGATGTATTTTTATTGAAATAATACTTCTGGTAAAAAATGGAAAGTGAAAAAATTTAAAATAATGAAATCGGTGACTCTGTGGCACGTCTTAAATATTTTCCGTTTTACCTATAATTTTCTTTCGTGATTTTTCCAATTATTTCGAAAACCCCTTAGATAATCAAAAAATAATTTCTCTAATGCATCTATTACACAAAATTCCCTTCGAAAAAATATGTACGGACAAAAAAACAAAAAAAAAAAAAACACACAGTAAAAGCAAATCATCCTACGCTACGCTCTGAATCTAAAATGTGACGGTTCATTCTACTCTCACATGTTTCCAGAACAACGAAAACTTGTATTATATAATATATACATATAACTCTGCTAAAAAAAAAATACCAAGTAGCCAATTTGTATAGCAACTATACTGTTCGTTGTGCGTATCCTCGTGAAAATTATTTAAGCTTTTACACTTAATAATATTTTTTTTTAAATTAAAGTTACCATTTTGAAATCAAAAGTAAATAGTGGTTTTACCCTCAAAATTAAGGGTGACGAAAAATGACAAATATAATATCGGAACTGCTTGTTTCTTAAATATAAAACGAATTCTGAAGAAAGTTAACATTTTCCGAAATAATGTATACCTTACGACAGATTGATCGTATCCTGTATTTTATTATATCTTCTAAATAAATATAAACACGAATGTATGTCCGTCTGTTCTTTATGCATTACTTCACCATTTATCCGATTACCATGAAACATTAGGTAGTTGTTCTACGATGTTCATAGAATGTTTGTAGCTATTTAAATCCACCCCCTGTTGAATACCATTTCCTAAAATTCGGTTTTTAGGTATTGTTTTTATTTTAGCTATTTTGATTGATTTTTGGATTACCTTGATAATATGTACAAACAAATAAAAACATCATAATTTTTTTAATAAAACTCCTGTGTTGTGCGCGTGTCTATGGTAATAGCATGTAATGATAATTTATCTATTATTTTTTTTTAGAAACATTTTATTGCACGGGAAATGCCGAATGGAAAAACTTGTATATAATATAACGTATACTAATATTTTGAAAAACAATTGAATTAAACCGATAGTTTAGTGCGGCGATCATATCTTTGGTGACATCAAAACTATAAAATTCATCAATTTGGTGTGTTGCAAAGTTTGTGGTAAATTAGTGTGTTTCAGCTCGCAGATTAACCTAGGTGGCTACACTTTTTATCTACCAAAACTGGACTACCCATTTTCCACCTTTTAATTTTCCGTTCAATAATGGCACGGAAAACGCTGGAAGAAACAGTAATTTATTATTTTTGTCACGGATAATCTTTGAATCTACTGGACCAATTTACGTCCGAATATTTGGAAAGCGGTCCGAGTTGAGAAAAAGAAGGTTTAAATTATCGATCTGACTAGCAGAAACTAGATAGAACTGCTTTTATAGATCTCTCGTACTTTATTTGACGCATTGTGTGTCAGTCCCTTGTTTGACGTTTGGTATATGTGCTTTGAACTCTTAGCAAGGGGTTTCACTTCTCTTTTGCTCACAGGAACAAATAGTTTGACTTGTATATGTTTTATTGATACTCACACTCCAATATTATCGCTTCTCTGGAACATTTCTAACGTCTTCCTCTGGACTAAAGCCCAAAATTAACTCAAAATCGGCAGTAACAGTCGTTTTGTAAGCGAAAGAAGCTAAGTTCAATTCAAATATAATAATAACCAAATGTTTGCGTTTGGTATTTGTTAGCTTTGAATATCCTTACAGACTCTCAATACAAAGTCAGAGGGGGATTCAATTTTCTGTACACATGTTTTTAGTATTAAGGATGTGCGTTTTGGATGTTTGAACTTTCAAACCGTCTCCCTATCCTACTCTTTGTATGATTATATTTCACCATTTTGCTTGTTTTTATTTTTTGAATGTAGCATAATTTTAGTATTTATGGTACATTAATGCTGTATAACAGCATTCAGTTATACATTATTATGTAAAGAAAATTTATATTTTTTGATTCTAATTACAAGGTAAAATATAGGTTTCTAGAATGGACGAGGCTGTAAATTTCTGCAATAATCAGCGATAAACCCGATTTCATCCGATTTGATAAAGCACGTTAAAAATTTGATTTTTTTTGTGTATGACTACGCGAAGAGAACCGCTCAATATTATTTGCAGGACATGCGGGGATTTCGCGGTATTAATTTCTAGGACAAATGTATATTATTGTTTTATGACTATGTAAGTTATCATGGGTTTCGTGTATACCGATATTGTTGTAAGTACCGTACGACCCGTCACCACACTCGGGTGAACTTGGTCGGTACGATTTATGACCGTGAAAACTTCTCCGCGATTCGGATGTGGAGTATAATATACCCTGCGCGTATAGAGTAAATTAATTTGATAAAGAACCGAGTGATATCGATCACGGGACAACATGGTATACAAATAATGCTACCCTGAAGATACACGTTTCTTATATTATATTGAACGCGTTTGATAAAGTACAATTGTTTTCTCGACTCAATGATACAAGTGCAATAAGACAATTATAACCTAACCTCGCGTAACTTTAAAATATTGTCATTAAAAAAAATATAAATTTATATCGGAAAGATACATAATAATGATTATGATTAACATTTTGAATTATTTGTACTTATATATAAATATCAACTAGCATTTGGCCATAGTGCTCATTTTTATTAGAAAGTAATTCAAGTAAATCGAAGATACTATCACGGAGAACAAAAATAACATTATGCAAAATGTTGGTGAATACTGTAATTGATTTAACGCGGTTAAATATCAGCTATTGAACATGTTTTTTAGAAAAAATATTATTTACATGTTGAAATATATGAACATGTCAACATAATATTTTAAACATTTTTTTTTTTTTTTTTTCAAACGAAATCCAAAATTCTAAAAATTAATAACGATAACGCGTTAAATGTAAATGTGCGAAATCGGCCGTTCGCACAATAATATTAATGTTTTTTTTTTCTCTTTTTTTATCGAGTTACTTCTTGAGCCGGGTAGTAAAAGACGAGAAAAAACACATAAAAAGAATCGGATAAAAATATTATTGATACACAGAATTCGCGTATAGGTTCAGTGGGGAAAGGGAATATTTGCCATCGAAAATTCGACCTTTTTTCTGCGTTCTTTATTATTGAATTGCGAAAAAGCGTATACTCGAACAACTGTACGTACGAAAACTGTCAGTATAAACGTTATATACGACTTTATACGGAGATGGTTCAATCGTAACGGTTTTCGTCCGATCCCCGCCAATGCACACGATGGCAACATTAACGGGGAATGCGTAGCTGTACTTTTCGAATCTGTGCGCGTGCCGGACGAATGCGTTTTATTAAATTATTATGCGCTTCTGCCGCGTTTGTTAGATTTAGTTTTTGTTTTTTTTTATTGAATGTGCACCTACGTAAATATTAACTAACTTAAAAATGTATAATAATATTATTATAATGAAACGAAGGCAATAAAATAAACTTTTTTTTTTTATGAAAAATTAAAACAAATAAAAAACCTGGTACTCACTGGTACTGATCCGCCCCGCTTTCAAGCATACCTATAGGTACATTTATATATATATATATAAATACATATGTATGAAGTTATTAAAATTAAATATATATTTTTCTGTATTTAAATACGAGTATTATATAATAGGTAAATAGGTATCTTTTGATCTACGCGTTATCGTTTCATTTCGCACAAGACAGAAAATTCGAAAAAAAAAAAAAGAGTTTCCTCGCCCTAATCCACGACATTACGTCGTGTTTTATTAATAAAATACTGTTAGTTACTATCAGTATACATTAAATATGATTTTAATATTATAGTTTTTGTTTTAAAAAACAATCGAAACATTTTTCCGACTGGTATACTTACAATATTATTTTGTAGACGGTGTATACAAGTTGATTTACGAGGATGATAAAAGTTTATATTGCACTTTTTGAGCCACAAGAAATGAAATACTTGAGTGTGTTTTTAGTACTCGTGGGTTGTCCTGTACAGTGTAAATCTGGCCAAGTGCTAGTTCAACTTAACCATTGTATTCAACTTTAAATAACCGGTATGTGGAACAAGTAATACAATGTGTAAATTTCAAGCCAATAATTTCTCGTTTCGTTTAGAAAGTAAACTGCACAGACAGACAGATACCTAGAAATATCAACAGAGCTGTTTCATAATGTTTCCAGTTAGAATGACACGGAATTCTGAAAATACTACAAAATCAAATATGACTATCAAGTCTATTATACATTGTATTATATGTTTTAAATCCAAATTTAATGTTATAATGTTTTGCCTTAGGCTGAAATGCAATGTAGGAAAACAATACTTTTATAACATTGTATTTGGTGAATTTTTCATTAGTATTATTTTTAAAAAGAACGAACAGCAACGGTCCAATATTACATTGGAAGGACGCCAAAGAGGGTGTCGGGCAGTTTTTCCCGCACGCAAACAGAAAAACAAATATCCATTAGCAATTTTGTCTTCTATGATCCATATTTCCTAATTTTGGGGTACGGGGAAGTACCGACTCCGGCCACGGCTCAATGAACCGTTCCCGAAAATAACAAGAATTATCGGTCAATATACGTACTGCAAGCGAAGGTCAACACATTTCCGCCGGGCATAAACCCGAGTTTATAGTTATTCCTCATCCAATTCTGAGGTTAGCGGCCGGAGCTGTACTTTCGCATTCACCGGGCCACGCGTAACTTGATTAGCGTCGCGGACTCCGTTTATACGTATAAGACATGTTCGCATTAATATTATGCACGGAACTGACGGGGTTTTCGCCCCTTCGGCCCACCGACCGAACGTAGATTACCTCTCTATATACAATACATGCCACGTGTAATATAGGGCTTCGTAATGTCGTATATATTACCCAGGGGACTGCGTCCGGAGCAATATTTAACCGGACGATATTTGATAAGCACACAAGCGTAACCCGAAGAATAAAAGAATTATGTTTTCGATTTTTCCATGAATTAATACCACATTTAAAATGTAAACATTTCTACAATTTTGAATTTACGTTGTTATTCGTCCCTCTTATTTTCGGGAGTGAAACCGCTATACACTTTTGGTTTTCAAACAACGGCCTACATTAAAAATTACGGTAATTTTTTTACATCAGTTACTGCTGCAGACCTCGAATATAATAACGATATTACGATTATCATTTACAGCGGACTGCGCTCGCGCCGCAGAGTTGTTCGTTAACGCGCGCATTTTTCACGGTCACTCAAAGTGCATAACTTTCCGGAACAATGCTGCGCGCGCGCCCGCTTAAAAACATCAAACGTCCGTTCCGCGTACATAACCGGCGAATTCCCCGGAAACGCGCGCCCAAGTATTTCACAAAGTCATTTGTTTACCGCCGCCATCGCCGTACCCCGAATACGGCGTGTGTCTGCCGTACCCGAGAACGGATAATACCACGTCTCCGAACAATATAATAACGTAATATAATGTGACGAATACCGGTACACACGTCGTTGCCGTGTTCGTGTATAAGGCGTACGCATTTATATTATACATACTTGATGGCAGGGCGATTAGGGGAGCACGGGGGTGGGGGAGTTGTTGGCAGCGGGGAGTTGTACACGTGGACCGCGCGAAAACCGCGCGGAAAAACTTTGACTGACGGTGCGCGGCGGTAGCGGGAGAGCGGTCGCTAATTAAAAATTCGAAAGGCACATACCGAAATGTTTTTTTGTCCCCCTCTGCTCATTCTAGTCGCACCTTCCCTCCTCTCCTTGGAGTTGCGTTTATTTTTTTTCCCCTAGTCCTACGTTCGTTTAATTATTTTCTTGGCACGGTTCGAAAAAAAAAAAAACGACGACGACTTGAGCGGAAACGGAAAAAAAAAATAACGAAACAAAACGGGAAAATATAAAGGAGAAGGAGGTGCGGTCATTATTAGTAGGTACAGGTATATTGTGCTTGTCGCAGTGTGTCTCCGAGCGCCCTCTCCGTGGTCCGCAGGCCAACCGGTGTGCGGAGGGGGCAACACGGTCTCGACTGTTAGTCACGTGCCCCCTCTATATACCGGGTGTATACCCACGCCCGTCACACTTCGCCGCCGCTCTACAGCCGCTGCCGATAGTACCATAATTCTTCAGAACCCAATTAACTAATTACACGGACGTTTCTCATTACGCGGACGAAAAGTTTCGACCAACGAACGACAGTGTCTCGCGGTGGAGCGCCTCCTCCACCTCTCCCTTCTCGGTGGGAACAGTAACGCGGTACGGGAGCCCCAAACCACCGGCGATAGGAGTTATGTGGCAGAAAACGGAAGACTGCCACCCCGGGCTATATATACCCGTGCGTGGGCGCACATAACGTATGTACGTCACCTATTCTGTGTACCGCCTACCCCCTTCCCTCCCTATCATCCAACGACTCCCTTACAAACTTAATGGAATTGGTAGAAAGCCTCCCCTACATTTACCACCTGTCCACCGAAACTGCGGGTGGCATGTATTATCCCGTGGGACGTGCGCGAGCGACTGTCCAGAGACGTTTAACATTCCGAAACGGTATCGCGCGCGCGCCGCTATAATCATCATAATGGATGGTTTGTCGAACACTACGACCGCTGTTGCCGTACCTTTGATTTTTCGCTGCGTTTTCATCGTGAAAAATCGTCGACAGGGTATCCATTATTTTCGTCCGACCTGACCCGGAGAGCAGTGACTCGGCTCTAAATGGCGACGGTCTGGCCGACCGGAAAAATAATTACTAACATCGAAATCATCGGAAACATATTGAAAAAAAAAAAATTAAAATTGAATCGTTATTATTACACGTAAGAACACACGCTTTAATAATTACGCTTTATTTTATTAGACTGCGAGTGAAACGATTTTGTATACTTTCGGTTAGTAAAAGTCTTCTAAAAATTGCACACCATTATCAATTAGATGTTATAAAATATCTTAGGCTATGCTGATTTTTATACCGGACTTTTGTTTTATAATGTCCAGTCTATAATGTTATAATAATAATCGAGTATCATAATATATTGTCTATAAAATTTAAAATTACGGAAATGACAAATAAAAAAGACAAATTCGAACTCTCGAAATTTGCAACTCTTTGTGCATTTTTGATGTTTTTGAAAGTTTTTCCCCAATTTATCACTTTTTTTTTTTTTATTATCGTTTACCAATTTGCCCTAAATTCATCTCTATCGTTTAATCTTGTCGTTCAGAATCATTTATTTTTATCTTAAAACTACAAGTCACGTTTATCTTTTAGGTGGATATCTAGATGTAAAATTGGTAAAAATAACGTCTGACGTGCTACTCGAAAAGCAAGCGAACTGCATAGACCTTATACTCATAGACAGAACCTTCTGATAATGCGTGGGTGGGTGGTGCGGTCACTCGTAGTGGCACAGAAGTAGTGCCATTCTTTGTGATCAAAAATATTGTTTTACATTACAGTATTTTATTTACCATACAACTAAAACTTACTGTATACTATATATAGTGTGATATCGTATGACGTATTGCTAAATTTTTTATATAGCTATGGTATTATTCCATATTCTATTATTTAATAGAAACAGCAAAAGATCTAATAGTAAATATTAAATGCTAAACAGGATAAGGTTCACCAGTAAAAGGTATGAAATGAAAAAAATATATATACAAGGTGTACCAGGTAGGTACTACAATATCATGTATGTATTAATAATTCAAAATATAAGTGATAAAAGTAAAACGTAATCGCAAATACACAGATTATAAAAAATTCATCTTTTTCGTTGACTGATTAACTGATTAACGTTGTCTGTATAAGTAATTTAATACTAGTATAATAAAAGTGGATATATTCGGTGAAAATATCCAGTTTCTGTGATATTTCTTAATAAGTTACGACAAAAAATCGCAAATACATTGAATAAATTCCTTGGTCACGTTAAGAAGAATCTAAAAATAAAATAATTTCGATTAGGATTTAGATCGCGAAATCCGGCACGCGAAAAATGTGTACGTATCGTTTAATATGTATCCTAATCTCATTTTATCGTACCGTTCGCCATTACAACGGAATTATTTACTTTGAACAAAGATATAATATTATAATAATTTATAATGCGCTCACTACTGCGTTGTTTGTTTTATTTAAACGTTCTTCAACAAAACTTTAACGAGTCCGACGGAAATTATGTCAAGTTTTTGTTTTTGGTTTTTTTGTTTTGTTGGTAAATTAATATATTTAAAAGACTATGCACCAAAACTTTCTTGTTACACAAATAACAATATTGTTATTACAACAATCATAATATGAAACGTAGTACTATTTGTTTATATAATATCCGACTTGTCTCTTGATGTTTGGCATTCCTGCACTATCAAAGTAAACGCAAATAGTAGACTGTGTTTTAATTCAATTCGGACCTGATGTGTACAAAGTGCAGCTATTAGCATTAACATAACATTTAAAACAAACTTGTTGTTTATAGGATTTAATTTTTTTTAAATCCGGTAAATTGCGAGTGTTTTGTACATCGTCACTATACGTTCGCGTCTATATGCGTAAGGGCATACGGGTGTGTAAGGATAATGTAAAAATATAGGGTGATTTTAATTTCTGTATGTACGTAACGATAACTCTTTGCCAATGAAAACAAAATTATGAGCAAACTTCATAGGTTAATCATGTTTTGATAATTATTAATTGAAAATTGTATTAATTTGTAACAGCAAAGTAAATTAAAATTGTCCGTGGTTTTTCGTCTAAAATGTTCGCACATTTTTATTTGTATAGCTTTATACGAAATTCAAATGCTTAAGATAAAAAAAAAAATAAAAATAGATAACATCTGAGGATATTCGATATTATTATAGTGCCATAAAAAACTTTTGATAATCCTTGTAAAAAGACTCCACAATTTTTAGATAAGATGATTTATGGAACTATATAATTATGACTAAATATAAACATATTGTATATTATTATAATAAAAAAAAAAAATTAAATATCTAAATATTTCAAAATTTTATATTTCATTACAATTTGCAAACATTGTTGAAAATAAATACTATGCGAATATTAAGATAATATTATTTTTAAAATATGTACAAAAAAAAGTCGTGGCCCTGTTTTTATAAAAAAGTGTTTAACAAAAGCAAACGGTTTTATCTATTGCTATTGAATAAGTGTTTTTTTTTGAACTATTCATATTGAAATTCAATAGCAATAATTCAATTTACTATAATATTCGATTAATTTATATACTTATATCTAATTACATATTTACTTAAACGTTTAGTAACTAATACTATTGTTTAAAGAATCGTTATTTTTGCCGCAATAAATATATTTTAATTACGAAATATTAAATACATAAAAATTACAATTTTTAAACTCCAGGATACTACTGCAGTCGAGAAAACTCATCAGTGCAAATTGAAAACCGTGTTTAATAATTACTTTTTGCAGAGTTCTAATTAATAATTTTATTTTATTTATTTTTTTCTACATTATTTATTATTTTTGACGTTTTAATTTGTAAAAAATTATTTTTTGGCAATAAGGTTTTTAATACAATATGTGTAGTCGGTTTTCGATTAAAACTTTCATGTACTTTTAATTTTTAATTTTTTTTATAATTAAAAGGTTATACTAATTTAATATACTGCATTGTTAATATTTAAAAAACATTTAAATTAAACATATTATTCATTTCTAGAAAAAAGTTTAATGCGGTCACTGAAATATTGTCAAAAGCCTCATTTCGGGGTTATTATTTTACTATGCACCTTCCAATAGTATTTAGTACTTTAACACACGTAATTTATTCATGTATATCG